TGCCATAGGGGCCTTAACAATTAGAATAGGGTTTAGGGCTCCTTGATAGTATAATCATAGTAAGGAACCCTAAGAATAGTATTGGTAATTGTCTAGGCTTCTACATTAGAGCACATTTCTAGGAGCTCCCAAACAGCAAAACGGTGTCAGGGATCTCAGACGCTCTCGGTTCGAAAGGACCAGATGCGAGCTCTGAGGCGTCGGAGTCCGAAGCGGTGGGCAGCTTGTTCGAAATTGATTTTGGGGCATCTTGTAACCCCTAAACCCTAAACCCTAACATGAACACACAGGGACTCAAAGGCAATGCTGCTATGTTCGAGAGTCTTGTTGGTTTTGATTCCTCGGCTGCACCGGCCTTGTGCAGGGAGTTGTGGCCGTTGCAGTTGACGAGGCCCGCGTCCACTCTGCTGTGTGTCAGGTACCTAGGCTCGGGAGTCCTAGCACCGAACTTGCCAAAGATCTCTCCACTTCAGTCTTGAATCACTGAAGCCCTGCACGAAAGAGCTCCGATTGCACCAAAGCACCCGCAAACACATGTGCCCAACCCAAAACCGAACTGCTTTCTCAAAGGCGCTCCAACATCTCCAAGGAGGAGCTCGCCCCGTCCATCCTCGAAGCCTTGTGCATGGCGTTGCAACCCCAGCCTTGGTTCCACGGTTGCTGATAAAGATCCTGCATTACCCAGAATAAGGAATAAATGCCATAATTCGCGTAGTTTAGGGTCCTTAAGGTAATGCAGGATTTATATCATCAACCGTATCGTGCCTCTCTTGGGCACTTGATACCACGTTCCGGAACTTGCGTGTTCTTGTGCTTTTTCGCTTTGGGGGAGGTCAGTATACTTAGGACCCGACAAAGATCCCAGTATTTTGTGGGGGCATCCGGAAACTGAACGTCTCATGCTCTGCTTGCTGGGTATTTGGCGTGGTATCTAAGGCCTCCAAGCCGTTGTATTCAAATGCTTGGGCCCTACACCCTTGTTGAACCCAGACTTTGCCGATCAGCTGGGAAGCAGCACTGACAGAATTAAACCTGTAGCCCTCACCACGAGCGGCCTGCGAAGTCCAGGGCGAAGTGATGATCACGGAGTTTTGAGAAAGTGGCAACACATCCATATTCCTTCCAGATTTTCCGAAACCACGACTCCAGTTGATGAAACCCCGAAACCCAAGCCCCCAAACCCTGATACCAGGCGGCTGTTCGTGTGGTGCACATCCGCCCGTCGACTCACAAGGATCGAGCAGCATGTGATGTGGCCTGAGCCCCGAAACAGCTTTGGGTCTCGCAGATGTGGAAGCGTAAGATGTGTAAACGGTTTAGGGTGTTCATGGTCTCAGGGCAATACAGGATGAAGGGTTCTACATAAGACTTTAGTGTTTAGGGAGTGGTGACTGGAACAATGATTCAGAAGTAAAGTTTTCAGATGTGGGGTCAGTAAGGCCCGCGACCGTAAGGCGAACATATTTTTCCGACTTATAATCTTTACCTATAGAGACCTCGCTTAAACCGGAAGACTCCCGACAAAAACCCTTGAAGTGGAACCGAGATGCCCTGCCAGGCAGCAAGCATGAGGGGAGTGTCACCACCGTCCGTTGCAGCATCCACGAAATCATCGCCGGCTGCGTCCCTGCAGGCTCTCTCTCTACTCCTGACGACCAACAGCCATCCCAAACTATAAAGCCCTATACAGCCTAAACCCACCAGACTTTGAACTCTATAGTTATACCATATACACCCTACAAGCCCACGCCTACCTGTTGCAGCCCAGGTGCAGCAGCAATGCACACACTGCCGCATGACCGTTCCTGGATCACAACTCCAAGCACATCCGCCGGCTTCTGCACTTGATCAAAACAACATGACACTCACTCTGCCCGAATCCCAACAACCGTGGTCCCCAATCCTAAAGGATCTGCTGCCGAAGCACCGTGCCGCCCAGTGGAGCGCTGTGCGCCCGTGATGCTTTGAGGTGCGCGCCCGGGCGTCCATCTTGAGCCTTGTTATTGTTGTAGCTTGGATATAGATACTTGATACCCTACGTCTCCAGCTGCCTAAGCAGTAGGTTGCCAACATCTACGAACCATGCATTATTTCACACAGTACTCCAATATTTACGTAGAACCGGATGGAGCCCTCAGGTATTTCTCAGGATAATACGAGTTGGGGGCGAGTTTAGAAGTCTGGCTTGGAAACCGTCCACGCAAGCTACAAGCGTGGACGTCTGTTGGGAGACGGACTGAGAATGAAAGCTTTTCAGATTGGAGGTTCGCGTGCAGTGTACAGAAACTCACGCTCACCAACACCAGCAGTGAATCACGTTTTCAGTTTTTTTTGTTTCGTCGAGGGGGGTCTGCATGTACCGCAAGAGCTTCGTTTCCACTGAGGATTCAAAACGTGTTGGGTCTATTCGGGCCAGGCAGCTCATGCAGCAGGTACTCGCACACCTCGGCAAGGAATCTCAATGGAGACTCTGGGCCTCGAGTTTAAGATTGAAAAGGGGACTGCTGCAGACCGCTGACTAATGACCCCCTTTCTTTTCCAAAACCTGAATGATATCAGGGTCCCGATCAAAAGCCTTGTTCAGCGGCAGGGGTTGATGATCAGGGGTCTGCACTATCGAATCTGTTTACTGTCTTTGCCTCCTGCCTGGGTAGGTCTATGCCCGTGCTTCGGGGTTTACTTGTGGCCGCAACGAAGTCTTCGGCGTAAGGATTTGGCTTGCGGCTCTATACGGGTTTAGGGTTTAGGGGCCGGGATGCCTGTACTTGGATTCGGACTTGTTCATATAGGTTATGCCATCGCTAGCTTCCCTGGACCTCTATGGCAAGCTTGTACCCTGAGCTCCTGCCAACCCGGCACCCAAAACTTCATAATTCAGCCAAAGCGCATGCGCAAAACTGTGGGTCCCTATGCCTATGTCCTCCTTCTAAGCTCCCCACCTAATAGAACTGGAGCATCTGTCCATTATGCTTTAGTCAAAGGCCAGGAGTCATCTACATGACCACCACCCGCAGCCCAGTGAAGCACACCATTCCCACGGTGATCGGTGGCCTACTCATGAGGCTTAGGACCGCTATATATATATATATATGATATTGGGCTCAGGGTTTAGAATCGTTAACCTCCTAGAATACCTAAACAAAGATCCTCATTTAGAGAACGACCCATAGCCATTTCCCTTAAATTCCAAGGAACCCTATTCTCATCGTGCAGAACGACGCACATTAATTGTGCAGTTTGGGTTTAGGGTTAAGTAGGGGGTTTTTCACCCCTTCAACGAACCCTATTCTCACTCGGAGTCAGGACTAGGGGGAATTTCTCTTGATATGGACCCTCAGTAAGGTCCCTTTTAAGAGAGCCATCAGTAGGGTAAAAAAGGGTCCCCTTGAAGCGGTCTCCCGAATACTACCTATAGAACTCATTTTCAGAGAACGACACAGTGTGGGAAGAGGCTCCTTCAGTGCGAGGCCTTGGGGAGTTGCGGCTCTGCTCAGTAGGGCCAAGTGCTCAAGGTCTGCTTCGGGTGAAGTTGCATATATGCATGCCATGTATATTATATCTACCTACCTATCTGTCTATATGCCTGCATGCCTGCATCTCTCGCTCAACTTACTGAAAACATCGATCTGCTTGGATCGGGGCCTTCCATCCTCGCAGTGTTCTGTTCAGAGCATGAGTCTTGAGCGATGCAGCTGGAAGAGCAAGTGCGGAGTCCTCTTGGGGGGCATCCTGCCTGCATCCACCCTATTTCAGGTCTTGAGAATCTGGTTTACCCGTCTTCAAGGCTTCCGAATCCGATGTCCTTGCCGGCCTTCGTGGCATCGCTTCCTGCCACGACGAGTGCTCGAAGCGCGACGAGGTCACCCCTGCATGCACGTTCGTACAGGGGCCCTCAAGAAGTTAAGGGTGCGTGTCTGCTCGATGACAGAGGAGGCAGCCACATTTGATCGCAATATACCGACAGAGCCCAGCACCCCCTAACTAAGCAACATATACCCCAAATAATTCGAGTACCAAGCCCCGACAACTTAAGGCTTCTTTCTAAAACATGAGGCCCCTGGCTCTCCGGCCACCAACCGAAACCCTGCGCCTGATACGAAGGCATCTGTGAACTGATTGTGAGAAGCTTTCGTCAACTCCAGACCCGCCGAAGCACCCTGAATCTTAAGCCATCGTACTACTAGTTCGATGATGATCGTCACTGTCCTTTCTTCTTGAATATTAGTACTAACTAGCACAATAGTGTCCTTATTATTACGATTATTTTATTGCTTTCTTGGTTAGTGTTGCCATGACTATTAGTTACTGCCATTAAAAATAGAGTCTATCGTAGCCCGCACAAAACCATGCCGATGATGGATTCGCCCTTGAAATACACACACCTAAATAGGCTGCTGCAGCCTACCCTTCTTTGGAAGCCCGTGCAACACACAACGAGAGAACCTGGTTGAAACGCCGAAGATCTGAGGAAATCAAACCTCCAACACCCTGAAACCAAATTCACACCTCCAGCTGCAACACAAAAGAAGCCAAATGCGCAAAATTATGCTGAAACGAGGTCCTCAACAACCCTCCGCCCGCCAAATTCAAAACGGAATCTCTTCCCCCACCCAAGCCCTAAACCCTGAAACCCAGACCCTANNAGACCCTAAACCCTATATAACCTTAAGCCGCTTCACTCTGCCCTAAACTTCCACGGCTCCTGCTTAGGGCCCCGACCTCTGTGCTGCCTCGAGGCACGGATCGGGAGCGGGTGCCTGGGCCACACCTCAGCAAAAGAACGAAAACTTTGGGTCTAAAAAAAGCGGCCTTAGGAATTTAACTCGAGGTTTGGGGTTGGGTAAGTTTTCATTGATAAAGAACGCCCCCCCCCCCCCCCTCCAAAAAAATAAAATAAAATAATATTGGTCATTGTTCAAACCCCAACATTTATATGAAGGCTGTGGATCTACATACCCTACCCCTATCTTTTCTGATCTCGAAGGCTGTTAAGGGTGTGCTCTTTCTTGGATAAAGGAGTGTAGGTATGATTAAGTAGCGAATGAGAGAACTACTGATGATCTTGACCCCTCCCTTTCCGACGATTTAAATCATCCATAGGCTGACAAAGCTTCCAGCGGGGCTCCCATCATGCGCTTCGGCCGCGATGTCATCTTGGCAGGGGCGGAGATAGTACTCTGCTGCCTGCATGGGAGGCTAGGGGGGGAAAGGCGCTATAGGTAATGCAAAATTTCAATATATAGAGTAGCCATCGCAAACCATCCGGCAACATGCATCCTGAGATTGCTTTCCGAGGTCGTGAAGTCGTGAAGGTGTGATGGCAGCTGACGGGAATGTCGTAACGGGCTGCTCAACTCTCGACACAAAATGCTCTGAGGAGGTCCTCCACGCTGAAGCAGCGAGTATCCGTGGCGTTCTGCACGTGGGTGCGCATCGGGTTGCCCTGAACACTGGCAGGGGTGTCTCTGCCGCAGTAACAGTGCCTCTTACCAACCCGTTGACCCGGAGGCGCATCCTTCGTTCCTAAACACAGTCCGAAGTCAGCACCCACAAGTAGTAGACACATGTACAATGCTTCAGCTCAACAGGAGCTAGACGGTTAGGAAGACACGGCAAAGTCGGTAAATTGCCGCTCTCTTGGAGCCCCGGGCTCCGTCCCACGCCCCAGAGCAACAACAAACACAAATCAATGGTCGAGGGCATCAGTTAAGCAGAATGCCCTTTTTTTCTGCGCCTACAGACATGACCAGCCTCCCCGAAGAAGAAGCCGCAGCCCTTGCAGAGAACTTTGCCCTTGGCCGCTTGCGCTCGGATATGCTCGCGGGTGAAGAACCTGTCAAAGGGCGGTATAGAGGTGGGTGGGGGACAAGTAGGAGGATCATGAAACCAACCTACCTTCATCCTACCTTTTGTAAACATAAAACCGGAATATGAGGGACCGAGGAGTGTAAGGGTACATGGGGGACTGTCACGGTCCAGGGGCTTGGGAGGCGTGGGTCTGGGTCTCGGACCCGAGACCCTCATGCACAGCCTCAGCCCACCACCCTGCTCCACCATGATGTGGGCTAGTGACTCGGCGTCCTGCCATTTGGGATTGATAGAACGGCTCCGGGCTGCTTGGCCCACTGGGTGTAGGGCCCGTCACAAAGGCCCCTGAAGGCCTGAGGACGGAAATCAGGGATCCCATGGGAGGACCTCCGCAAGATCAGGGGATCTATGTGCAAAGAAGTTTTAAGATGATATCTTCACGGAAACCATGATTTGCGAAATGGTCTCACCAAACATAGGGACTCCGGAAAAAAATCTAGCACTTCAATGTCGCAGTTTGTAACATGGGTGATTGGTTGGGTCTGTATTTCTGCATCGCAGAGGTGCAGTGATTCACAAGCTCCCGCGGTTTTGTCGGTCGCCATGCATTCCTAAAGCAGCCCATGGCTCCAGTTGCCCTAACTATATATATATATATATGTATGTATGTATGTATGTATGTATGTATGTATGTATGTATGTATGTATGTATGTGTGTGTGTGTATGTATGTATGTATACTTATGTATACTTATGTATACTTATGTATACGTATGTATACGTACGTACGTACGTACGTACGTACGTATGTATGTATGTATGTATGTATGTATGTATGTATGTATGTATACATTACTTACTACTAAATTGTCGTTTACCCCAGCACCCCGTCATTTTGGAGGCCCTACAGAAGAGTAATGCTGACCCAATCAGAACTCCTCCAAACGCCGGAGGATTGCCAAAGCCAGATCGAAGGGCTCCTGCCATCTACGGCTGTAGGCGCTCATGCTCGGACAATCATCTCAATCTGGGACATGTTGTGGTGTGTATACCGATCCTCTGAAACTTTCTCCGGTGTAGAGGGTGTAGGGATAGGTATTGGCTTCAGGCTGTGTGTATGCCGGTCCTCTAAACCTTTCTACGATGTAGGCGGCGTAGGATTTGGGAGTTTTTAATGCAGTAGCTCTTTCTCTCGCAGCGAGTCGAAGAGCTCACCCATTCGAGTGTGCACTACTCAAAAACCCTTGCACTCACCTCTCGATCGTCTTCTGGGGAGCTTAGGCTTCAAGACTCGCGGTTCAAGGGTCGGTCTTGTTGAGCTGTGGTCTCTGAAAGCGCTCCGGCCTGGTGAATCATTTCAGCGCCCCGTCCTTGCGCCTGCGAACTTTTGGGTGCAATATAAGGTTCCCGAGGGTCTGTAGTTATACAGTTTCATCAAGTTTCCAAACGCTTCCGCTTAAAGGGTGCTAGAATCAAGTGTTGTGGGGTGTTTAGTACTGTCTCTTGTACAACACAAGGACTTTCGGGTACTCCAGGGATGGAGAAGAGAAGCAGGAATCGGTGGTGATGTTTGTCACAGCTCATAGGGCTTGTGGCTTTCTTGGCTCCTGTAAGACCTAGTTAGTCTCAACCGCATGCTGGGATTTCTGCTCCGACTGGAGCATCAAATCAGCAGCTGCACTTTCGCAGCGACCAAAAAAACATCGCATGACATGCAGGCACCAAGGCCGCAACAAAGCTAAACAGCTAAGCTAGAGAGGGGAAGGTTTCTACCGTTGCTGGTGTGCACAAAGGGACTCGCGCACAAGAGACATCCCTCCAGGAAACAAGCAGCGCACGAACCTAGCCTGAATCTAGTGTATGGGCCCCGATCCCTCGCACGTGCACAGGTCCTTTGGTGTTACCATGTCAAGATCGTCAACATCACGCTCATCCAATAGAGGAGCCTTAATACTGCGACTCTTCTTTGAGGATGTATTGAAATGTATCTTCAATAAATGGGATAACCTACAAGGAATAGTATTGGAAGTACAGTACTCAGGCTTCTTTTTACTAGATTTGCCCCGAGCTGAGAAGATGCAATGCCCTGGTAATCTCTGTACAGCCTGCTTCCATGCAGCCACGGCCGCGTTGGAGGCGAAATCTGGCCCATCACCTACGGAGCCAGGCAGATGAGGAGTTCCCTGAAGGGTTCTCCAAAAGAGAAAGGAATATGTCGGAGCAATAGAATAAGACTCACTCTTTCTTAAGTTCGGGATTCGAGATGATTGTCAGGTTGGGGTTTAGGACTCTGAGTTGGCTGTGCAGGGCTTGAGGTGACGGGCCCAAACCTGATTGAACCACAGGATGGTCGAAGCCGGGATACAAGCAATACTACTGCAGAAATCATTCGGGATTCTGGTCTGTAGGGTTCCCTAACCCTCCAGGTACCTAGTATAAAGGGCACTGGAGCCCCTGGGGCCCTCTACAGTAGGTACCTGGAGGGTTGGGTTTTTTTTTGCCTCTTGCCTAGCTTGGCGTCTGTAGGGTTTAGGGTTTAGGGGTAAGGACAAAGAAACTTAAAACCGCCTGAACCCTGCAAAATGCTTGCTTGTCAATGCCAGCTCCGGGGACGCTGGAACTATGTCCAAGGGAAAAGCTCTTGCTTCTGGATATCTTGAAACATTTGCTTATAAGCCGTAACCGAACCCCCAGAGCCCATTTTAGAAGGGCGCCTGGCCAGCCCAGAAGGAGGCACCATTCAAGCCCGGTTCCTTTTGTTGGGCATACCTCATAGGATCCCATATACAAAACGGCTACGTAAACCAAGCAAGGAACTACAACGGAGACTAAGTAAGGCGACTGCCCGGAATCCCATGTTCGCCCTGGTACCCCGGAAGCCTGGCTCAACATCTTCACCTCTACTTAAACAGGACACACCCTGCTTTACCTACTAGGGCTGTAAGCTGTTGCAAGCATAAAACCCCGAGCACAGGCCCGGCTTTTTTAATGCAGAACCTGCTAAGACGAGTGACTTGATTTGTTCGCCCTATCCCGTAGAAGCCTAATAAACCCCACAGGGCCCTTATCAAAACCTATATACACCCTATCCAGCCCTTATATAAAGCCCTACAAACCCTATAAAAGCCCATATAAAGCCCCCTGAAACCCCCTTTTAGACAACCCTATTACACTAAACCCTGAAACCTAAATCCCAAACCCTGAATCCTGAACCCTAAACCCTACACCCCAAAACCCTTTTTTGAGCAGGGACTGCAAGGCACTAAAACCCTAAAGCCCTAAACCCCCAAACCCTGCACAAAAGCCCGCTGAGCCGGGCCTTTCAGGCGCCTTAGGGAGCCCGAGCGGCCGCGCGAAGCTGCAGGGAAGCCTCCGATACTCAGGTCGCTTAGGGTTTTAGGATTTAGAGAGGGGTTTGGGGTTTAGGGTTTAGAGTTGAGGGGTTTAGGGTTTAGGGTTTAGAGTTGAGGGGTCTAGGGTTTAGAGTTGAGAGGTTTAGGGTTTAGAGTTGAGGGG